CCCCCTATCCTGGCCGGCCTCCCTGACCACCTGTCATCCCCCAAGGGCCACCTATTCCAGACCCTTCTCCTCCTTCCCTTTGCCATTGGCCTTGCATGCCATCTTCACTCTGATTTACTCCTTCTTCCCTAATTGGACAATTAGGGTTAGGGTTTTGATTCGTCACCGGAGATTTCCCTTTTTCCTTAGGGTTTGGTGGAGCAACTTGAGCTTCTAACAATTTTCGGATCATCTCTTCCATTCCCCCAAATCTCTCTTCAAGGGATGAAAATTTGCCTTCCATCGACGAGAGTTTCTCCCCCACCTCTTCTTTCAATTGGCCCATCTCCCCCTCCAAAACTTCCACTTTCTTTGACGCCATGCCGTCTAGGATCAAGAGCTCTGATACCAAATTGATACGCCTTGGTTTCACAAAATTAGGGTTTGCCCTAATTTCCCTTCAAGGTTGGAATTTCTCCACCAAATCAAAATCAACACAAAACAAGAAAGATGAGAGGAAGAACAAAAGAGCTTTGCATTAATCTTCAAGACAAAACAAAAGACAAAGCTAGTCCACTTCGAGAAGGACCAAATCTCCCAAAAGAAACCCTAGAGAAAACAAGAAGGAAAAGAGAAAGAACTTTCTTCACATGATGCCCCCAAAATAAACCCTAATGGCTCCTTTCATACAATCTCACAACTTCCCCCTCATCCCTAAATTACCCCATCATCCACCCTCCATTTTCCCCCCAAAACTTGGCCTCCCAACTTGATGCCCAAGGATTTAAGTAAGTGGGCCCAAAGGGCCCACCTTGACCCTCTCCCTTTTCTCCCCAGATTCGGCCGCCGCCCCCCTTTGGCTCGCCCGGACCGAAGGCCCCGCCTTCCGCCTCCTGTAGATCCGTAAGGGTCTCGGTCAGCCGGTCCATCATATTTCCTATCAAATTGATAATTCATTTCCAAATGTTAGGCCTGTAAGTCTTTTACCATTATTATTATTATTTTGCTGTTTACGTGGTCTTTTGAACTGGTTAAAGAACTTGGTCGTGGGGGCAACTTACCTTGCTATGGAGTATTTGAACTGGATATTATGTCCCAGTTTTATTGACTATCATATGAAGAGGCTTCTTTATAGAAAGGAATGGCAGAAAATTTGTGTCTTCTTATGATACAAATATAGATTAATATGCTTTTTCTGCGTATTACATTTAGGAATCCATAAAATTCTAGGACGAGTCATTACAATATATAATTATTATAAATTAGAAAATTTTCATGAGCTTTTCCACCAGCCATTCATTCTGCCATTGCTCCTAAGAACTGTTGAAGTCCCTGCAACATTTCGTTGAGAATTTCTGCCGGCTATCCTTGCCACACCTTCCGCCTTTGCTGCTTCTTCCGGCTGTCCGCTAATCTTCTTTCTTCCATGTAATATTTCCTGAACTGTATCCAGAACCAGCTGTCCACATCTATTAAAGCTTTAGGTTTTCAAATCTGCTTCTTTGTATTGCCGTAAGAGATGAATTACTTTTGTTACCTGCATTTGAATCTTCAACAGTCTTATTAGTAAATTATAGGGGAAGGAAGCTTGTGCTAAGAATTATTGTATGCTTTGGTTTGTTTCTTTTTATTGAAAATATCTTCTTCTGTTTTCAATTCTTTATCTGTTTAAAAGTCTTGGAAAATTACTTTTCCTAGTTTCTATTGTACTAAGTAAATTAGAGTATTACCTTGGTCTGATTTGCTTCTTGTAATTCAACAAACTGTTTACTAGCATACAATTGAGCAAGTGTAAGTGTATTGATGTCTCTATTACATTTAAACTTTCTTCGCAGGTTCTTAGAAAAGCTGATATGATTCTAAAAAATGCTGTTGAGAGCATCTTGGCTGAACGTGATATCTTAATTTCTGTTCGGAACCCATTTGTGGTGGGACAATCTAGTTATTGCCTGATGTTTATCTTGCATTTGTTTATTTTCTTTTTAGTGTGATACTGAACGGCTCCTATGCCTAAAACCTGTAAGGTGCGTTTCTTTTACTCTTTCACATCTCGGGAGAATTTATATCTTGTGATGGAGTATTTAAATGGAGGGGACCTATATTCGTTGCTACGGAATTTAGGTTGTTTGAATGAAGAGGTTGCTCGGATATATATTGCAGAAGTTGTAAGATATCTGCGATCTTACATCTTTTTCCTTTATTGTTTTGTTTGATGCAGCCTTTTAACATTGTTATGATCATGGTTCAAGGTTCTTGCTTTGGAATATCTACATTCGCTACGAGTGGTGCATCGAGATCTGAAACCTGATAATTTACTCATTGCACATGATGGTCATATCAAGGTAATGATGATATTAATTTTATAGGAGGAATTCCTTTTTTTGAATGTTTTGCCTAGTATCAAGGCTAACCCCTTATATTAGAACAATTCAAAACCTATAAAATGATTGACCTCGAAGATATATTTTTAGATTCTTTATAACACATGCAAAAATATGGGGAAATTGATATATCCTTGCAAAATAATGGACTCCCAATTATGTTGGCCATCAAATCATGATGCGAAGATTTGTGCTTCTATGATCTTCATATAGTGGAAGCAAGACAGAGCGACTGCTTTCAAATAACCATCATTAGATTACGTCATGATGCGTGAAGACCTCTTCAATCATATCCATAGAGTCAAACACCAATTTTCAAACATCAACCAAGATTTGATGATCTAGCCTAAATCACACTTGACACCAACCTAAAAGCCATCTATCTTATTTAAATCTTTGATAATGCATAACTAAAAGCCTAAAGGTTCCACTCATCCATCCATTACTCATGTAGGCAAAATTGTCTAACTCAGAGATGATAAATCTCTTTTCTCAACTTTCTAAGCAACTAAAAGACTAAAATACGCATTAGCTAGCTACATTTTTGTCTAGCATGAATCTCATATATTAAGTGTCTCATTCACTCACTATTTATATTCCCAAAAATACTAAACTACCCTCCACTCCCACCTATATAAATGCCTTCGGTGGGATCATGTAATGTAAACTCAATCCCTTAAAATCTATTCAATTTTTTTTAAATTCATGGGGAATAACTAGGCAATGCATTTTTTTCTTCTAGATTTAATCCTTATTGACTTGAGAGTCGGGTGCCTTTCAAGGAGTATTTCACTGGGAAAACTCATATTTTGTTTAACCGAGTGTATGCAGTAAGTGAGTGATTGCTATGAATGGCATACCCAAAAAATCTCTAACTTCCATCCATTTTGGTACACATTATACCTTATATGAAACTTATAAAAGGTGTGCTTAGAGCTAGAGGTCATCTACGCGTCCTGGAAACCACCTCTTTGCAATGTTGGGTAAGACTCTGTAGATCAATTTGATATGACTTAAGGATCAAATCAGTAAAAAAAAAACAACCACAAGAAATGAAATCAGCACCAAATAGCAAAAAACGCCCACCAAACTCAAGAGAAAATAACAATAGTATGCAAGAACAACACCAGAGCCTTGCATTGGGTACCCATACCCACACCCACCTACATACCCACCCATACCAAATGGGCATGGGTGGGTATATGTACGCCCATGGCCACGTGGGTGGGTATGGGTGGGTACTCAACATCAAGGGACAAATCGATTTACATTACGATTTACATTACTAATCATCATATGCATGCAGTATATTATAGTAATCCTTACTACGCAGTGCGCAGCACTGAACCGCGTCGCGATCACGATAAATTTTGATATGTGGCTTAAAAGTTTGCAGTCAGAGAAAAAAGGCAAAAAATCTCAAGGCCATTAATCCGTGTCCGACTGCATTCAAGAAGCGTGGAAAGTGGGTGGGTGTGGGTGGGTATGACATCCCGAAAGTCACCATAAGTGGGCATGGGTGGGAAAAGCCTGCTAGCGCAGAGCGTGGGTACTCAACCAGGACCCCATGTAGGGCTCTGAACAACACTAACAAAGCATAAATAACAATCTTTAATCAAAGAAATACAAGAGATAGTTGATTCACTGTTCGAGAGGTGAATCAGCTCTCCCCCAATTTCTTAGCAGCAACTAGGAACTCAAAATCGCCTTAAGAAACAACTCCATAAAATTTTCACATAATCCTCTCCCCTCCAATACAAATTTTCCCCCTTAAAAGCAGCCCTAATCACACCATAAATGCACCTCACATTTCCTCCAATGATCTCCACTTAAACATTTTTCATCATAAATACACCTTTCTTTTTCTCCAATTATCTCCTCTTAAACTTTTTCCTCCTATAGGTCTGAAATGAGGTGTTGGGACCCACAAATAACCCACCCAGGGAGGTGGGGTCCACAGCCCATAAAATGGCTGGAGCTACTAGGTTATGCCCTTTTTAAATGAAACTATTGAACTCTTACTGTATCTCACGGACTTATTTTTTCTCCGGGCAATAGTTGACAGATTTTGGACTCTCCAAGGTTGGTCTCATCAACAGTACGGATGATTTATCCGGACCTGCTGTTAGCGGGACATTGCTGCTTGCAGAAGATGAGCTTCAAGCGTCTAGAACAGACCACCTGAATCAGCGAGAAAGACGAAAGAAACGTTCCGCTGTTGGTACACCTGATTATCTTGCACCGGAGATCCTTTTGGGGACAGGACATGGTCAGTATAACTGTTAATTTTGATAGCTGGCAAGCTATTAGCTTTTTCTTCGTGGTCTATTTGCTACTGTAGCTTACTGAATTACAATTCTGAATTCTTAATATTTGCAGGTGCAACAGCTGATTGGTGGTCTGTTGGTGTTATCCTCTTTGAGCTACTTATTGGAATTCCACCTTTCAATGCGGAGCATCCTCAGGTCTGTCTTGTCCGTTTTTACGCTATTTGTGTTGATCCCATAGTGACAGCTATGCTAAGTGTGCTAGATCCTCAAACGAACCAAACTTTATTCATATACTAGTCACCATGTACATGCGATGCAAGGGATAGCAAAGAATGCTATAAAATAAAGTATATTGTAATGTTATTTTGATTGCTTACAATTTTGTATTTTTGAGCAAAAACATCAAGTATAGCATTGGAGTAATATTTCAAACCAAACATCATTACAATAAAAATTAGGTTCGGTATTTCAGGTTTAATCTTAAGTAGTTATCTTATTAAAGAATATTAATTATGGAATGCAACCTTGTAAGGAAAACTATAAAATATAAAACCATTCATATATATGATAGTATTTTTGTCAACATCTTACACCAAATTTTTTTTCTCACTTTGATTGGTCATTAAAGAAAAGGTGAGAACATCGGGTTGATCTCAGCATTTCAAAAGATGGAAAGCACTTGAAGCATTAAGAAAGATCTAAACAAAAGGCTGTGCGGAGAACGAAGAGGTGGCCATATAGAGTAGTTTGTCGGAGGATTGAAAGATTGAGATGAGGATGGATTCAACCTATTTTTGATTGTCATGCTACATGACTTCAAATAAATCTTGCATTATTATTTTTTTTTGTGGACATTTAGGTCAATTAAGGAAGACTCACACACACGTCGCATACATAAGACTCGAACCCAATATCTCTTAATTGGTAGCCTAAGCTCCCAACCAACAGATCAATGTGAGCTCTGTATAAATCTTGCATTAATTGCAGCTCAATCTTGACCCATTTTTGTTGGCGAATTGATGCTACTATGATTAATATTAGTTAATTGCGTTGACTCATAGTCCATTGATTGGTAGTTTCTTTATACTTACAACATAGATGCTCAATGCCTCAAGGCTTTGAGACATGATGTGCCCACGATATTGAGTTATGTACACCTCCATGTAAAGGATATTAACTGCTTTCATGCTTGATCTAAATAGCATGATCGGAATAGGGAGTGAGGAGGAGAGAGAGAGAGGGCGAGAGATTCGGCCATTTAATTTGGAAATACATTTGAATGACAACTACGTTTCATGATGAATATATTCAACCAAAGAAAATTAATAGATTTATGGTTAATTGGTACATTAAAAGCGTTCATTTGAAAATAATGGCTTGTATAAATGGTAAAAGTTGATGCGCCGCCAAAAATTCACGAGATCAATTAAAATTTTGACACATGTTTCAAATCTCAAAGAGTGGGGTTTCTTTTGCTTTCAGCACTCCCTAGGTCTGCCCCCTAGGGTTCCCATGGGGATAGCTGCCTTTGATTCCGCCATAAAAGTCAATGTAGAAGGGTTTAGGTTTCAGTTTTGAGCAATTATGCAATATTACAAAAGGAACATAGTAGAATCTGATTCCACCAGGCTCTAACTTGAATGGAAAATATAATCAAAACAATATCAAACCTGATGTGCCAAGGAATTTTTTATTCACAATTATGTCCAAACCAGAGGTAAGGTTGCTTTCTTTAGTTCAATCCAAGAGTCAAGCATCCTGTACTAAAATGTGGTAGAAAGACAAATGTAGCTTGCTTTTTTCAGCATTAAAATAGTAGTTAATATCAATTTAGACTTTTGCACCATTACTACATATGAGATCCACTTAGGATACTATACCTCTTGAATGAATCTGGCCTCTAACAACTTTTGAACTTTTTCGTGAATTTGTTTGTCTAGCACAGTCATCATTGGCTAAGTCTTCTACTTTGTTGGCCTCACCTTTTTTAAATGTTGTCACTTCTTCAAATTCTTATATAATCTTCTACCCAGACTCTCTCCACATCGAGTTGGAGGATTTCTTTTTTAATATTTCTCGTTGCTTATAGATAGAAATCTCTTGATTGCAACAAGTTGCTGCTGACTGTCACTATATGATCACTTTCTAGGATCTTCATATTGACATTATATGTAAAGACAACTGCTCGGAAAGCATTCAACAGTGATTGGTTAAAAGATTGCATTGTCAATGGTCGGTGCATCGACCACAATGAAGTTAACCTTAGAAATAAACTACATTTCTTCTTCTACCCAGGTAATCAGCAGGCGATTACCCTCTCTATCTCTATGCTCCGCATAAAAGCCAAAGAGAAAACTAGCGATTGGCGCTAGGCGAGAAGTGCCAAGTTTCATCTTCTCATATTCACTCCTGAATATAATATATTGAGCTCTCGATGTCTATGAGGATGCTACCAAGTTGATAATTTATGATGAGTGTTGTGACGACCACTGAATCGTTGTGCAGATTGGCAGTTGCAGGCTAATCAACTTAAGCAAAGATGATTAGGTGGCACATAGGAAGTAGGCACCCTCAAGATACTTACCAAGTTCACCTCTCCCGACCTAAGTTATTGGAGGTTTGCTTAGTGAGAAGCCTCTTTGCCAACTCCTCCATGGATGGTGGGAGCTTCCCCAACAATGTGGTTCTCTTATGTTGGGATTGATTCATTGCATGGCCTCGTCTTGCATTAGCAAGAACATACTCTTTAAGTTTACCTACTTTGATATGTTTCTCCACCAAACTCCTCTGGTGCTGTCAATCCTCTATGTCCTGACCATGGTCATGATAATAGGTGCAATACTTTGATTTGTCATGCAAGTAACCATTGGCTCTCATGGGCGTTGGCCTTTTGAAGAAGTCCTTATTTTGAATAGCCTCAACTATGTCGACTATGGAGACTCGCATTAGAGTCACAGTAAAAAATGTGTGAATAGGAGGTAGTAGCGACCTCTCATCACGATGATCATTGCATCGTTCATCAGTGCGTACTCACACATCATATGGATGAGTTTTTGGGTTATGGGTAGATCTCTTGTGTTCATGCATGTTTCTCCTCTTAGTCACTTAACTATGTCTAACTTTTCCTTCTAGATGGCTTCTTTCTTTCCTGCTAGCTGTAGTAGAGATGCCAACCTATACATTATATTATTTAACATTTTTATGATTGTTGGTGAGTTCGAATAACCCTTGCAGCATACTCGACTGTTGCAAGCCGAGTGCATACCAAAATGGTCGCATTCATAGATCTTGGGTGACAACCGCTTAGGTAGCAACCGACCCAAAAGCGTTCAAATCGAGCATCACCTTTTGAACCCGAGTAATGAAACTCCTCAGCGATTCTCTCGACTCTTGCCTCATTAATAATAAGGGTAGAAAGTTCTACAACGGCCTTTGCATGTTGGTGAATTGCATCATGAACTTTCTCAGCAAAGTAATGATAATGAGTTGTAGACATGAGAACCATATTAGAGGCAATTCTTTAAAGGTAATAAATAATAATCTACACTTTAATGTATCGCTGATATCTTGGAGAGAAACAATCGACTCAAAGTAGGTGATGTGAATGGAGGGATCCATCCTTCCTTTATACAAATCTATATGAGGGATTTTGAACTTTGGTGGAGGCTTTGCCTCAACAATGTCCCTCGAGAAGCCATTGGCAAGAAAAAATCTCTTCTTAAGTCTCCTTTCTTCATGACGAGGAGTGGAAGATGATCCTTCACTATCTAGGCTGTAAATTTCATCAATGGCTAGAGTAGAATTCAAAGCTCTAGCTCCATAAAGTCTCCTCCTTTTTACAACAAACCATAGGACCCCTCTAGCAATTCCACTCTATGAGTGTCTCTTGGAATCCTATCTAGTGCTCATTGAATCATTCGAGTTATTCTCTCCTCGAATTTAGTGAGCCAACAGATAGTAACAATCTCCTAATTGTCCATGCTGAAATATTCTTCTCCTCTTGGATGTTGTTTTGCTTCACATAGTACTTCTCGTCTAGTTACATGCTCCACTCATAACACCTTTAAGGATGTTGAATCCATAAATGTAAGTGAATCACTTCTAAATATACTGAGAATGTTGAGTGAAAAAGAAAATTGGAAAGTAGAGAGAAATATTGTGATTTTAGTAAAATGGGTTTAAGTGAAAATAATTGTCTTTAGAAACCAATTGACTAAAATTACGGAAACTGAGCTCATCCTTTTATGGATTTGGGTTGTGGCTTGAGCGCTATAGAATTGACTATATACATAGTTACACAAGAAATAAAAGAAAATATAATAATTGTATAGCCTAATTAGAAGGTTCAACCTAATAAAGTTATCTGTCAATCTTTGAATAAGTCATCGACTTGATAATTGAATAGTTGAGTAGCAAATCAAAAGTTTATCTTGAGAATTTATCCCTCCATGAGTTGTCGTCAGGGCTGATTTCATAGATAATAGTTGTTAGGATCGATTATTAGGATTTATTGGCCTACCGAATGAGTTCTTTGATTATTGTTATTTGCTTGAGGCAAGTTCTGTTGTATGCCATCGAGTATGATATTGAGTAGATTGAGTTATCTTGACTTGAACTAGCTTAATTTATCTTGAATTGGATTGACTTAGCTTGAATCAGTTTTTTTGGATATATGGATGTAAGTGTATAATGGGTGCAAATGGTTCTGTCATGTGCAAGGGATTGAGCTTAACTAGTTCAGGATCACTAGCATATCCAGTTCAGAATAACAAGAATGGGACCCTAGAGGTTTGGATCGATAGGGCTTCAGTGCTCATTATGCTACGGCTGTTGAAGGCTGAAGGAAGGCAAGGTTATAAATAAAGGGAATATTAAATTTGAATATAAATATATCATATAATACATCAATTTGCATCAATAATTCATTCGATATCATTAGACCATTGGTAATAACTAATATCTACCATGCATCAGCCATCGAAGCCCGATACTTATCATACACTGATGTTGGTCACTTAATGTTTGACACTTGTCAATTTTAATTTGAATTTTGAATGGATTTATGGAATAATTTTTCTTTTTGATTTAGAAGGTCTGGGGGTCATGCTCAAGGAAGATTTATTTATTCATATTGCTATAATTTATAGTTGCAGGATTTAAATTCAAAGGGAGCTTTTTTGTTGTAAAGCCGCAAATATACAAATGAATAGAAAAAAGAGCTGATCTAGATTGCACTTGTGAATTCTAGGTTGTTTATTGGTAACATTCAAGCTTCAAATGCCATGCTATGCATTGCGTGTGTGTTCACATCCATGCACGTACATTTTCCCGCATAAATAATCAAAACGAAGTCAAGGCTTTCCCTTTGAAGTCTCAGGTGTACCATGAATTGCCTGAAATTTTATTCATTATTATCAATTTTTTAGACAACTTTTTTATTGGGTATCTTCAACGATGCCATAAGCTAATAGTTATTGATTATTGTGAGCATTTTAGGTAATTTATTAGCTCAGCTTTTGTGTTTTTGTTCTTTTAGATGATTTTTGACAATATTCTCAATTGTAAAATACCTTGGCCCCAAGTACCTGAAGAGATGAGTCTTGAAGCACAAGATCTTATTGACGGGTAAGAGCTGAAAATAATCTTTCATATGATGTGCTTTTCTTGTTCTCTACCCCCTTAAGTTGTGATCATATCAAGTGAAGATTTTTTATGTTTGTTTTCAATTCGTTGTTGTCTTCATATTCTGTCAACAAATAGCTGAGTTGTCATTAGGGTCATTATTTTAGCTTCTTGATTTTCGAATAGCTGGTAGCAACAGCGAAATATCTGGTTTGGGGTGTGGCACATTGGTCTCATTTCGCTGCCGAAGTTCTTCTGAACCTTCTACAAAAATCTTGATAGAGCTAGATGTTGGAATCGAGTTATTAAGTTAAAGAAAGGAAGAGAAAGCAACTATTGAAAGCAACAAAAGGGAAAAGAAGGTTCTGAAAAACCTCAGCAACAGAAGCAGAAACAGAAACAGAAACCTGAAGAAAGTTTTATATGCAGCATTGTATATTGTTTTGTATTTCCTATCAATTACAGCAGTACACACACACACACAAGGAGCTAAGGAGTTAGGTCTATGGTGAATATTACATGAGCAATATATTAACGGTGGAGATGATGTAGTCTGGAAAGGTTGAGCAGCTGCAGAATATGGATAAGAGCAATTTTGATATTCTAATCTTACAATGTTTATCACTTATCACTGCTCTGCAAGTACCAATGATTTGTTGAATTGTTAACTTATCTATTAGATGAAGAAACCTGGTAGAAGAGAGAGATTTTGCAAAAAAATCTACAGGTTAATCTTGAGATAAAATGTGGTGAACAATAACATGCTTAGCTTTGATACAATCCTGAATAAAATAATTGTCGATCTCAATATATTTTTTTCGTTCTTGAAAGGCTGGATTATTTGTTTAGGCAACAGAAGAAATGTTGTCACAATAGGGATGAGTAGGCTGTGAGTAAAATATGAAATTCAGCTAGTCACATAATTTCACTTGTAGCGGCAATGAGCGCTCAATATTCTGACTCAACGGATGACCCATGCCATGAAACAAGGTTCGAACCAAGATAGACACAATAGCTTGTAATAGAGCGATAATCAAGTTTGTTAGATGCCCAATTAGAGTCATAATAAGTTTGGAGGTCAAGTTTGTCAACTGAAATATGTAAGCCGTGATGCAACGTGTTGCACAGGTATCACAAAACACTTTATCACGCAACAATTCTGATGCATTCCTCTACTTCAATCATCCAACTTGAATTCTACTAATAATATTTCACCCGTCATTTTGAACAATAGATGTGTACTCTTAATAATGATTTGATCGCCCAAAGTCATAACCCCCACTAGATCTATTACAACTAAAATTATACTCAATATATTTGGTTTTCGATCTACTCAAAAGAAAACCTTTAGATTAATGTTGACCTCCATAATTCAAGTTTTTTTCAACTACCTCTGTAGTCTCATCAACAAGAAGAATATCATCAGCAAAAAAATATACAGCATGTGGTAAGTAACCTAAATGCCAAGAAATTGAGCCATGGATCCAAGGTTTTGTAATTGAAACCGAGTATGCAAAGTTTGAAGAAGAGAAACAAAGCCGAGTCAGTGTCAGCGACCAAGATGTCATCGACATAAATGAGTATATAAAGAGAAGTAGATGTCTTATGATAAAATAGAAAGGAGGGATCTACATGACTTGTAATAAACCCACAATTAAGTAAATAGAGGTGGAAACTATTGACGAGGGGCTTGCTTAAGAACATAAAGAGCTTTGTGAAGAAGACAAATATGATCAAGAATTTGGGAATTCTGAAAATTAGGAGGCTTTTGCGTGTGAAAAACTTCTTCATGAAGAAAGACATTAGAAATATCTGTTTGATAGATTGATTAATGATAGGGTACTGCCACAATTAGGAAAGTGCGAATGTGGGGAATTTAGCTACCGGATTGAATATAACATTGTAATCCGATTCAAATTGTTGATTATAACCTTGAGCAACTAAGCGTGCCTTTTTGCGAGCAATAGATCCATCTGAGTTATGCTTGGTTTTAAATAACCATTTGCAGCCAAGTGCATTTTGATCAGGAGTGCGAGGGACTAGAGACCATGTACCCTGCTGTTGTAACGCTTCAAATTTGTTAGACATGGCTTTGTGCCAAACAACAAATTTTGTTGGCTTAAGAGAAAGAGGAGGGGGATGTAGGCACAAGGTGATATTGTAGATTGAGTATATGTTTTGGTTTAAGATGTTCAGTTTGAAGTAGGGTGATCATGGAATGACATGAATGAGCGAGAAGGGTTACAGCTGAGTCTGATGTAGAGGAATCAGAAAGAGAACAAGCAGCAGATGACATGGGTAGGCCAGGAGGTGGTGTGGTGGTGGGGGGTGGAGATAAAGGAGATGGCTGGGAAAGAGAGGCAGATGTTGAACTGGAAGGTGGAGGAGGCTTACCGGATAGAGGAACAAGTGTGAGAGGCAAGACTTGCTAGGGGTAAGAAGAATTGGATGTGGTGGAGTTTAGTTTATAGGGAAAGATAGATTCACAAAAGGTGACATGACGAGAGATATGAATACGACTAGTGCAACGCTGAGACATTTATAGCCTTTATATTGAGTGGTATAATCAAGAAATACACATGGAGATGAATGTGGAGTATATTTATAATGAAGTGTGGATGGAAGCTGGGGATATAGCATAAACAACCAAAAATCTTAAGGTGAGTATATGGAACATTCGAGTATATGAGGGGGTTCATTGGTATAATAATTGGTAAGGTGATGTATTATGGGTGTTTTTTTTTTAAGGCAAACGATTGATAATATGCTGCAATTGATAAAGTATCAACCTAGAACTATTGTGATAGATCAACATCAATTAATAAAGCACAAGCTATTTCAAGAAGATGAAAATGTTTGTGTTCAACAATGTCATTTTGCTCGGGGGTGTATGGACAACTAAGACAATATAGAATGCCAAATTATTGAAGAGTGTTTTGAAAATTGTTATTGACAAACTAACCACCATCTGATTGAAGCATTTTTATAGGTTTTTGAAATTGGCGTTCAATAGGTAGCTTGAATTGAAGAAATTTATGTAATAGTTCAATAGGTAGCTTGAATTGAAGAAATTTATGTAATAGTTCAGATTTAAATTTCAGTGGATAAACCTAGCAAAAATGAGTATAGTCATCATTCATCAACTAAAAGAAGAAAAAAATTATGATTTTGCATAGATAAGATAGGGAAAGGACCTCACTCATCTTGCATAAATGTGTTCTAACATTGAGTAGTACCATAAAAAGCTAAAGAAAATGATAGAAGATGATATTTTGCCCAAGCACAAGAGGAGCGGTGGGTAGGAATTGAAGTAGAGTTGCTGGAAGGTAGGTGAGCTGAGAGCAATTTTTGTGTAGCTATGGTGGGCTGACTGAGCCGCTAGTACGTACCAAAAGGTGGAATTTTAGGTGGAACTGATGAACGTGGCAGGGGAGGATGGGGTGAGCTGTGGCAGTGTTGTGGTGGTAGACTTAATGGGATAGAGATTAAAGACTGGGCCCCTGATGTCTTGTTGGTCTTGGAGTCCTTGATAGCAAAGTCACGTGCATCCAAGATAATAGGGCATGAATTATGAGCAACAAGTTGATGAAGAAAGATTAAGTTATGAGAGAGATTTGGAACATGTAAAATGTTAGGTAAGTGAAGCATACGAGGAGTGAGGAGAAGGCCCTAACCAGAGTGCACAATAGGTAGCATGTTGCCATTCCAAACCTGTACTTGAGTGGAGCCGAAATATGGATGAATGGAGTGGAGTTGAGACTCATCAGATGTGAGGTGCTGGAGACTCCAGAGTCGAAGAACTCAGCTGAGGAAGCATATTCCTATGCAAGATAAGCTTGATGAGTGGGTTGGTAGGTAAGGTCTATACGATGCCAACATTTTACTGTATTGTGGCCAACTTTGCTATAAATTTGACATTCAATTGAAGACAACATACTCTGGCCATCGTGAGTAGAAAGATAACCTTCAGACCTGGCACAAAACAACTTGATAACCTGAGCATGCTAAATAGGATGATTTTCAATAGCTAACTGAACATTAATCACAGATTTTATGTTGGTCTCAAGAAATTTCAGTTGAAGAGGAATTGATAGTTCACTCATTTTAAGAGGAGAGGATGAAGAAAGGGAAGAGGGAGAAGAATCTACTGAGGAATTCATTTCCAGAATAAGCAACTACTATTAAAAGCTAAGCAACAACAAAGGAAGAATGAAGCTATGACAAAACAGAAGCAACAAATGCTGTTAGCTCTGATACCATGGAGAACTTTAGCAACAGAAACAGAAACTTGAAGAAATTGTATATGCTGCATTGTATATTGTATTGTATTAACTTCAGTTTTCTGCAAATATTTTCTACGACAATACAATCCATCTATTATTTCTTTTATTCACAGTATTAGTCAGACACGGATTTGCAAGGTATAAATCTATGATAACCGGTTGGGAACAAAATGAATTTAGGTGTTAGTTGCACTATAAAGGTTCTTCCAACATAAGTTAAAGTATTTAAAGATCAAACAAATAAATTATAGTTGTTGAAGGTTTAACAAATAAAATAAATAAATAAATAAATCAAAATTTAATTTTACGTCATGAATAATTACCTATTAAATAAAATAATTAAAAATTAAATACTTATGAATGAATTTAAACTTGAATTCAAATTGAAAGCAATGACATACATGATGATAGTTACGTAATAAATAAAATAGTAGTAACACAAAATTATATTAAGTGTCATGTGATTGTTAGTTAATATATGAATTAGCAATCATGGGATATGCCAGATATCACTTCTTGGAGTCATGTACTATAGTTTAATCTATATAATAAAGAATAAATAAAATGATTAACAATTAAATATTTATGAAAACATTTAAATTTGAATATAATTAAAATTGAATTTAAATTTAAAATAATTACATATGTGATGAGATAGTTAAGTATTAAACACAATTATTATAGCTTTCAAGTCAAAATTATGTTGTGTCATATCATAATTAGGTGATAAATATATTTGAATTTAAATTCAAAATCACATCATGTGATGAACATAAAATGTGCAAATAGTCAACTAGTCGATTCACGTACTGTAGTTTATTATACATAAGGATATCTGTATTATAGTTACCTGACCTACCCATCGATCAATGTGCCTTAGGATCTTAATCGATGTACACTGAATCCACACAGAACCATTAGTGGAGAGGATATTGTGAATAATTTATAACCGAACCTGATCATAAATGCATTCAATTGCCCACTGCTTCTATAAAGGAAACATATGGGTTCTGATTACAGCTGCATCATGTGGTTTGAACCTGCTAAATGTCTTCCTTTGAAATGGGAAAAAATATCTTGAAGGATTTTGTATTGATGAAGAAGAAAAATCTAATCCTGCCATTTGGAATTCCCCCAGAAATGTAAATCTTATAGGATTCAAAGAGATCACGGGAGATGGCTTGAGCTGTAAACATAACCTTACATGCATGTACTACACAGTTAAACTGATATTTTATTAGTTTGCATATTCAGAGAGTCTATGACGCTGTTTCATTCTTTTAGTGTAGTGCATTTTGCTTTCAGGTGTCCTTTGAATTTTTCTTACCCCAAAAAAAAAAAAAAAAGAAAGAAACAGTTGTTTTTCCTGTGTTTTTAAAGTTATTTGGTGCTTCGATTTCTATTGGAATTTCAGGATATAAATAGTCTTTTAGCATTTTCTAGTCCATCCATGGCCCATTAGTGATGTAATACTAGGGTTGTCAAAAAAGTTCATTGTTCATGAACAACTCATGTTCGTTTTATGAAGTAACTCTTGTTTGATTCATTTGTTAAGTAGCTAAACCCTAATTGATTCTTTGAACTTAATTTTTAAATGATTTGAACACGAATATACCTTTCTTCGATTGTGTTCGGCTCATTATTAGCTCGAAATAAACAAGTAAATAAATATTTATTTATTTATTTAAATTAAATTTTTTGATTATATATATATATATATATATAACATTCAGGCGCTCCCAGTTACCATTAAGATGGGAGAGAATTATCCTTTCCCAATGAACTCCAACCAATAATTGACGGATATTAAGAGATCATGCTACAATGCTTCTCCCAATTGTAGTATTCCAATTTATTGAACTTCGTTATAATAGGAATATTGTCATTTGATGTCCTTCCAGATGATCATGTTTATACTATTTGCTTTTCTGGAGACATTGATGTAAAAATTTTACATCTCCGTGTACATCCTTGGCAAAGTTAGACCCATCGTTTGACTACTTTCTTAAAAAAATTACTTTGTTGGGCCTTTTATGATATTATCCATGAACCAAAAAACAGAAAGAAAGAAAGAAGAGTTCTCTTGTTGAATAGATTTTCCAAAAATATGTGCCATGTAAAAGGTGAACATCTAAAAGTTCTCATGGGAACAATTTTTTTATTTACCCAATTTGTAACCCAAGACACAAATAATATTATGGAGATGTTGTTAAAACCAAACTAATGAAGATAACACGATCACTTTTGATAGATTATTAACTTCCAACTTCTCAATTTATGATTAATTTTTCAGTATGAGATTCGAATTGCTTTCTGATTAGGCTTGGAGCCAATTGGAACACCAAAATACATAGAAAGGCAATTTATCCAAAGACCATCCCATGCTCCCATGCATGAAGCCAAAGCTTTGCCAACAACCTTTCCATGTAACTTTAGTTTGATCAACGGTCAAACATTTAATGGGAAATTTTCTTTTATATATATATATATATATATAGGGTCATTGTAGCACATTCATTTTTTTATTTAGTTTGGTCGACAGTCAAACATTCATAAAAATTGATGAAATCAGATTATCAAGCACTTAGGTGGTAAATCAATATCAATATTTTTTTTTTTGTTTTATATTTGTAGTTAATAACATCAAAAATTAGTTTTATGATGAATCAATCTTTTCTATGTAAATATGTTGGAAAGTGATACATGCATTAAAAAAAAAAAAAAAACTTTTATATGTAAAAGAATAATAGGCTATCCCTGGATAGTGGATAGTAATAGTTATTTAGAGTAAAAACGTTGCTTATGCATGTAGTCATAGGTCGCAGAGTTTTCATTTTCTAAATTATGTTTTCTTGTTTATACCACACATGGTGTGCTTCTTCACTTTAATGGATCTTTCTTTCATGCTTCAAGTTTCTCAGAGTTTGATATGTGAATCAAAAAAGCATAGTCAGCAAGCTTCACCTAGGTATTCACAGCCATTGGTAAAATGATTTGACCGTTTTTTTTTTCCTTTAATTTTCTAGAATAAATCTATCTAACCTCTTATAGACTTTATGATAATTCAAGCAAAACAAAAAACGTCATCTTTTATCCAACTACATGAGATCGACAAATTCAAGCGAAACAGCTGTCTTATGAAAATTTATTGCTGAGGAATGCCCTATTTATATATTTAACCTTGCCCATCTGTGATGTTTATAATAGATTATTAACTGAGGATCCTCATCAAAGACTTGGAGCAAAAGGAGCTTCAGAAGTATGTTTAAGTGGGGATAATTATCTATGAAAACTATTGATAGACTTGAACATGTGTGTTTTTTTTTTTAATTTCATGAACCAATTTTTCAGGTCAAGCAGCATGTCTTCTTTAAAAACATTAACTGGGATACACTAGCTCGGCAGAAGGTGGCTGATTCAGTTATAAAAAGGTCATGTGTTTCTTATTTTTGGTCGTCTTGACATTACATATTGTAGCACATTTCTCCTTTTTCAGGCTGCATTTGTTCCCTCTTCAAATGGTGCAACTGATACTAGCTATTTCACAAGTCGCTACTCATGGAATCCTTCAAGGGAGCATATCAATGAGGCCAGTGACTTTGAGGATTCTTCAGACAATGGCAGCATAAGTGGTGCCAGTAATTGCTCAAGCAATCGTCAAGATGTGGTATGGAATATAGTTATCTCTTAATGGTTCCAAAATTTTATAGGCATTCTTCAGTAAGCTTTGGTTTTGACTTCATTAGACCATTGATGTGAGGAATATCCGTTCAAAATTTTAATCCTTATATATAAATATCTCGATCTCTATCAGTTGATTATTTCTTCTTCATGGCATTCAACTTATTGAAAACAACAGTTTTAAAACTAATAAGTTGTTAATAACTACCAGGGGGATGAGTATGGTGGCCTCGAGGAATTTAGTTCTGAAGCATTTGTGAATTACTCATTCAGTAATTTCTCTTTCAAGGTAAATTGAAATCCGCTCAAAACAAATGCACTTTCATTTTCAATTTCTATTTTTCTTTGAAAATTTATGGTTTCACTGGAATGTTGTTAAAATCCTTCCACTAAATATTTCATTAATGTGCTGGTAACAATAACAAAAAGATAGGATGACTTGTGTGCTTAGACTATAGGAATGGCACTCTTTGACAATTTACGTATTTAGTTAGTTTCTATTATGATCTAATTTCCATTTTTAATGTAAACCTATATATGCATATCTCCTGAAATTACAATGTGATAGGAAATGCTCCAAGAGAAAGTGACTTCCCTTGGCTGAATTTGAATTTCAGCAAGGTTCAAACTAGAAATTAAGAAGAAATTGGTGGAAATATTAACCAGAAAGGATTTACTAATAATAGATGAAAAAAACAACAAGATACAATGGATCCTCAATTGGAGAGGAGGATTTGGCTCTCCCAAATCTCTAGACACCGCTAGAGCCCAAACAAATTCAAAGAACTCTCCAAATTTTAGAAAATACAAGATAAAACTTTACCCTGGGTCAAGCAATATATTTAAAGTATACAAAATATAGTTAATACCAAAATAGGCCCTCAATTTGAAATTTCCTTTCTAATATCTTATTAATTTCTCATTAATTTGGCTGTTGGACCCCACCCCCACCCCCACCCCCACCCCAAATGGGGCAGCATTGATTGGGGCGGAACTTCTGTTCCACCGCTGGTAGACCTAGGCCGGTCCAGGCTGGACCGGTCCAATGATTGGTCTATCACAATATTATCCACATATATAATTATAATAGATATTTATTCTTGCCCCCCATTTAAAAAAAAGGTGTGATCGACCCCTCTCGTATCTCAACTTTGTTAAGGTGGAGTTGAATCTAGTGTACTAAGCAAATGGTGATTATTTAAAGTCATGAAGGGATATGGTGATGCATATTGGTTAAGTCATAGATGGGTTTTTTGTTCTCACCACTTAACCAGTGAGAACAAAAAAAAATTCATCTATGATTTTTTTCGCAAAGTTATGGGAGAATCTCATCACTTTTGAGGTTGTGGCTCGAAATTTTGTGTGATTGCACAAGTGGTTTATGAAGTTACCTAGCTAGCAAGATTGATGAAATATATACAGATACATAATACTTCTCCTAAAACTCACTATAGTGATGGTGAATCATCATCAGTTCTATGAAAAATCATGTTAAACATGACTGAATGAAACATATAAGAATTTGTTTCTCATTTATAAAAAGTGAGATTGAAGAGGGTGGAATAAACCTATGTTTCACTCCTACTACCTTAAAACAAGCTGATGTTATCCTAAAAATTCTAAACAAAGGAGTTTTCAAAGATATGCTAAGCAAATTAGGAATTATAAATATACATTTCTAGACTTGAGAGGGAGAATAGGTAAATCTGGAAATTCATTTAATCCATCGATAGGCCTTGTTTGGTATGAAGGTTGGTGATTCTTCTAAAATTAAGAATCCTTTTGAATTTGATATGGTTTGGAGATCAAATCAGCACCCATAACAGCCACTAGAAAGAAATCAACACCAAACAACCACCAAATCAAGAGAAAATAACAATGATATGCAGGAATAACACTAATAAAATTAAAATAACAGTTTTCAATCAAAGAAACACAAGATACAATTGATTAATTGTTCGAGGGGAGAATCCCCGAAAGGGGGTAGGGTCGGGGTCCACAGCCGCATCAATACTCCCATGATAAAAAGTCACTTATCCTCAAGGTGGAAAGAAGGGAACTACTATTGGATAGTGATGTTGGCTTCCCACGTCGCCGCATACTCAAGTAAATTTTTCCACTTCCCGGATCCTCTTGTCTCCTTGGCGCACCCCTTGCACCTCCAATGATTCTAATATTACCTCCATATCTCTACAATGTAGCCGGTAGTGTGGGCAAGGGTGTATGATCTCCAATGGCTCATCTCAACTGTGATACATAAAATACTAGAAGGATGGCTAAAGTTGGTGTCAATTGTAGATGATAGACGACTGCACTAATATGCTCCATGACCTCGTAGGGTATGGCCCAAAGTATCGCGGGGATAGCTTCTCATTCCTCCATCGAGCTAAAGTCCTCTGTTTGTGATGTCGAATCTTCAGATAAATTCTATTCCCTTTCATATGTTGATTTCAGTTTGGCCCTAGCAGTCAACACTTGGTTGAAATAAGCTATGGGCCTCTACCCTTGCATGAGAACTGCTCTCAACTCATAGCCTGATGCATCAATCTCCACTACAAATGATTGGTTGAAATCTGGTAGTGCTAACACATGGACACTAGTCATGACTTTCTTTATTTGCTCAAATGTGGCTGCCTCCACCCATTTGAAATTGTTCTTCTCAACTGCTATGTCAACAGTCAGGCTATAGAACTGTATCCCTTCGCGAACTTCCTATAATATCTTGTTAGTCCCAAGAACCCCCTTAGCCCCTTCAGGGTTTTGGGCATTGGCCACTCCACCATTGCCTCTATCTTGGTTGGATTTGCTGACACCCTAGCTTGAGATATTATAATTCCCAAGTACTCCACCCTTTACTGCGCAAAAGAGCACTTCTTCAAGTTGGCATATAGTTGGTACTCCTTCAAAGTTCCCAACACCGTCCGTAAGTGCTCCTCCTCGGACTTGTTATAGATAAGGATTTCATTAAAGAATACCAGAGCAAACCCCCGAAGGTAAGGCTTGAACACCCTATTCATGAGTGACTGGAAAATGGCAGAAGTGTTGGTGAGGCCAAAAGACATCACCAAGAACTCATAGTGTCCCTTATGAGTTCTAAAAGCCATCTTGTGAGTGTCCTCTGGTCTCATTCTAATCTTGTGATACCTGGACTTCAAATTGATCTTTGAGAAAACCACTGAGCCATACAACTCATCTAGCAGCTCATACAACACAATTTCCTAATTCAAGGCAAGATAATCTGTATAGAATCTCCAACTGTCATCATTTTCACCAGTAACACGGGACTAAAAAAATGGCTCACAGTAGGCTTGATGATCTCATCTTGAAGCATCTCCCGAATCAACCTCTCAATGTCATCCTTTTGGACCTATGGGCATGGCCGGACGCTAATGAGAGTGAGTCCTTCCTTCAGAATAATAGCGTGCTTGTGCTCTCGTGGAGGAAGCAATCCTTGGGTGGGTTGGAATGCCCTCTATCTCCCAGGCATCTCCTCCTTCCAAACTATGGAGCTCCACCAAGATTTCCAATCCTTCATCCTATATGGCACGCTCCATGGTTTTCAAGGAAGCCAATCCTTTGGGAAAATCACCACCTTTCTCTGCTCCACTTGGATCTCCATAGCTAATGCCTTTCGTTCCACCTTAGTCCCTCCCAATCGTTTGTAGCCACTTCACACCCAAGATTAGATCCATACTTCCTAAGTCCAGTGAAAGAAAATTCTCCTTGATGTGAATTCGTTGCAACTCCACCGTCAATCCCTGACAGATACCCCTGCTTTTCTCTACCTTCCATGTGCCCGTCATCACCCCAAAGCCTCCCATGTCTACAAGCTTTAGCCCAAGCCTGTCAACCACCTGATTTGATATGAAATTGTGGGTAGCCTCACTATCCCTCAAAATCGTCACTGCTTCCCTGTCTATCTTTACCCTCTTCTTCATAGTGTAATTCGAGGTAAATCCCACTACATAATTCAACGAAACCTTTGCCACCTCCACGTGTAAGGGCTCCTCATCCTCTACGACTTCTTTTGTCTTTACTTCGTCCATCTCCTCCTTATCACAAACAAAAAGGACATGCAATGTGTGATTTTTACTCCTATAGCTCAGTGTGAACTTCTCGTCTCTCCTAAAACATAAGCCCTTAGCTTGTTTGTCTTGCAACTTCATTTCAGTCAGTCGTTTAAAGTTCCCTCATGGCCGCGCTCCCAAACCTTTCTCCTTTGGAGCTTCCCTTTGACTTGATACAATCAACACCTTAGGTGCAAGGAAGGTTGTTATGCGGTAAGAACCTCCAAAATTGCCCCCTTTGCTACTCCTCTTAAGTGAGTTCTTATCATCTATCAATTGGGCTAACTCCATAGCATCTCATAAGTCATGGGGTATTGCCACCCATACAAAGGCTCTCAGCTCTGGTTTGATCCCCTTCATGAAAGTACTTTCTATCATCGTCTCCGGAAGTCTCTCTAAACGTCCCGACAGAAGCTCAAATCTCTCTCGATGCTCCATCACCGTTCTTGCCTGTGTCAAAGCAAAAATCTGCTCATAATAGACCCCCTCCTACTTGGTTCGAAAACGGTCTTTGAACTCCTCCCACAAATGGATTGAGTATCTCGTCTCCCTCCTTTGGTATCATGCCAGTGCCTTCCCCTTAAGACATAGAGCCGCTGCCATAAGCCTTTCCCCTTCCATCAGCTCGTTCACCGCAAAATATCTCTTAACTCTATAGATCCACTCATGCACATTATCGCCTTTAAACACTGGCAGTTTCAGCAAGCCCCCCCGCCCCTCATGCCTCTCATGAAGCGAGCATTGGGGTCTCTCCATGGTTCCCTCTCCTCCCTTCTCCTTTCATATCCATCTCTTCCTTTAAATTTAGCCCACCTGTTCTCTTCTTTCCATTCCCTCCTACCTCCATATTTCCTATTCATCCCCCTTCTCGGTAGAGGCTCAAGGTAGGGTATTCCCTCCTCTTCTCCTAAAATTTTCACTTTTCCATCTCTTCTTTGCATGTCATTTCTCTTATTCCCCTTGCTTTCGGTGAAGCTGCTTTAGTTTGAAACTCCAAACATCCACTTCAACAACTCCTATAGATTCTTAAACCCTTCCTTCCATTGTTGAAAAATGATCATTCAACGATCCCACATCCGTTTGCAAATGCCCACTTCCCCCTCCAACTTTTCTTCCAACACCTCTACTCTTCTACCGGCCATCGGCCTCTGCGCAATTCTTGCAAAAAACGCCTCGAGGCGTGCGCAATTGCTGGCAGTGGTGAGGCGTACGCCTCACATTG